TACCTGCAAGTATTACCCGTGTACAAAGATGTCTACTCGCTCCTCGGCTTTCAACTTATTTAGGTTACAGAGTAGTGTTTGATAACTAACTATATCTCATTTGTTAAATTTAGGAGTAAAGTCTTTCATGAAAAATCTTATTTCTCTATTTCCTTTCCTTTCCTTTCACTTTTATTCCCTCAAAACAAACAGAGCCCCTTTAGTACAAACTCAAAATTAGTAACTTTGATGTTTTAAAAATAAGAAAATTAACTTAACCATTTTATCATAGATTTTACACGAAATGAAGAGATAAATATGTTGCAAAAATTCAAAATTACATAACGTAGGAAAACACACTTATAATAAGTGTGCGCCTAAACAATTGAATTAAGCAGCTAAAAACTTCCAATGAACGACAAGTGCCAATAGATGAGACAAAGTAGAAGCAGGAAAGGGGTAAAACCGTCCTAAAATTTCTTATGCACTATATATTCCAGTTCCCCCGTTCTTTCCCCCACTCAGACAAATTTTCTCCGGCCTTCCGCTCAACTGTTCACTTCATGTTCTTTCTCTCCACTCAAGCGCTCTCTATCTGGCGGGCGCGACCCATTTGTTCTTTTGGATCTTTCCTTGTGTAAGTCCTTTTTCCAACTGTATTAACCTTTTTTACTGGTCGGATTTTCCACCTGTTCATTTTTGTCTTGTTTAATCCTTAAATCCTCAATTCTTGATCAGTAAATTCATGAAGTCCTCGTCTTTTTATTTTTATTTTTTTTGGGTCTTTTGTCGGAAAAAAAGTGATTCTTGTCAATAAGTTCGAAGTACGTTCGCTTAGCCAGCTTTTCTTAGTACATGAGTGAAACGCTTGTAGGCTTAACAATAAAGATGGGATTTTTATTTTTTTCCTTTTGTCGAAGTTTCTCTGGTCGATCTTTTCTCCTTATGTCCTACGATTAATTATGAATTGAAAGTTCAATGATTTCATGGGTTATGTTTCTTTCCTCGATTACTATTACTTACCTGAGTTCTTTGAGCTGTTTCATGGAAATAAAGAAATTAAATAGTGCCATGTTGGCTAAATTTCTTTTTTCTTTTTCTTTTTCTTGTTCCCTTTCCTTTTCCTAGTTTTTCTAATTCTTCAGCGTTATACTTCATTTTCATGCACATAAATAGGGAAATTCAACTTCCAATGCCATATTAGTTAATGTTCTTTCTTGCTTATATGTGAAAGGCATGCGCACTAGTCTGAGGATCATAAGATTCCATTATGTTTATCCCACTCTACTTGAATACTGCTGTTCTTATGTTTGTTGATCATTTATATATTGCAGGTAACGGGCATGTCGCACTACTGCTGAGGCTATATTGATCTCACCTATAAGTGAACAATATGCGGTGGATTAGTTTGTCCATTGATGTGTTTCGTCAAGTTATCTCCTTGAATTTGTATTGTAGGGTTATTCTGTAAATGATCTCAGTTGTCCTTATTAAACCAGAATTACCTCTTGATTCTTTTGATCTCGTTTAACAAGATTTCAATGGGGTCCAATCACTTCTCTTTCATTGCTTCTAATATCTATATGATCAGCTGAGAATTATTTATGGTCTTAAGCAGTTTTAAGTTCATTCCTCTGACACCTCGTCTCTTGCCAGTACATCTTGTAGTTCCTTCAGATTTGGTACACTCCTCGTTTTCTTATCTTTTCTTTTTTCTTTGGTCCTATCTTTTGTTCTAGATTTCTATTTCTATTGTCGTAGTCTTGCGTAGATTTTGAAACTGATTCAAGGTGCAAAAGAAATTATGGTGTGCCAAGCAGCAAGCCAGACAAGATTCCGGGCTTTAAAACATGAAAATGGCATAGCAGGGACACCAACCATTGTAGTTAGGGTGATAGCATGCTTTCAACCTTTGCAAAATTGTCAGGTTGGTTCAAGATTGTGTTAGGGTGCTTGCTAATGCGTTTCAAGTTGTAGTCTCTTTACCCTTTATGTTTACTCTTTGGATTTGTGTTTTCTTAATGTGACAGGTTTTTCTCTGTACTTGATAATGATGGAGAAGTTACTAAATCCTACTTGTTTCCTTTTGGATTTCTGTAGGCTGAGTACTTCCGTCACTTGCTTAAACCAGTTACGTAGATTGATAGTACGTTTTCAATAGTACGTGAGGCTGGAGTTTGAATATTTTGATTCATTATTTTGGTTTCTAAAAGTGTGGACGTTGAAGATTCATTACAATCAGTTTTCTGGTATGGTTTTTGACATCTTGCTGCTGTTCATCTCCATTGCCTTTTATTGCTTGGAATTTTCTAAAATCTGGCAATTTTATGTCTCAGATTATTGAATTAGCTGGATGTTTACAGCCTACGATTTTCAGCATTCTCAGCACCATTATCTGTGGGATTCTCCTCGCTCAAATGACAGTACTGCTGTTCCAGATACAGGGACTTCAGCTTTTGGGCTTCTTCATTTTAAAACGGACCAACTTGATGGAGTTCGGGGACCTTTCCAATGGTTGCCTCCTCAAAAGGAGAGCTCGTCTCCCACAGCAGCTCCACATTTTGAAGAATCTCAACGTGCTTTTGGTCATGGACATGGTGTCGAACCTACATTCAAGGATGTATCTGCATCCGCTCATAAGAAGTTTCTCATTTTTGATCAATCTGGGGATCAAGTTAGATTGATCTCGAGATCTTTTCGTTCACCTTACCAAGATCAGATTATCATGCCCATGACACCAGTTGATTTTCACGATTTGCAAGGTGAAGCAGGACAATCACAGATAATGAAGCCTCCTCCGCATACTGAGCACCATCCGCATACTGAGCACCATGTAAAGAGTGAAGGAGGTGACATGCGTGAGGACACAGAAGAAATCAATGCGTTGCTCTACTCTGATAGCTTCCCTGGGAATGATGATGATGTTGATGGTGAAGATGATGACCTGACTAGCACCGGGCATTCACCTTTTACAATCATAGGTGGCATCGAGATGCATGAGAAGGTTTGGGAACTTACTGAGGAAGTTGGTAGCACTGATGGTTCAACTAAAAGGCATAAATTGCTTGATGGTGGTTACAAGAAATCATCGTTAGTGGACACTGCAGATCCATTGAAATTGGCTAAATTTTGCAATGATGATAACCATGTGGAGACAAATTGTGCCAAAGGTGGGGACCTCAATGAGGAGATGGACTCCAATATCAACACAACGCAAAAGCGGGCCAAAATTTGCAAGACGTTGAGAATTCTTGAAAGTATAGTTCCTGGAGCAGAGAATAAAGATCCAATCTTGATCATTGATGATGCAATAAATTACTTGATATCATTGAGGGAGAAAGCTGAAGCTTTGGGGCTTGGCCACCCTGAAGTGCAGTGCTCCCGTCAACAGTAGTACATTTCGGGTGCTTTTTTACTGAGGCAGTACGATCAAGGGATAAGTTGATCTCGTCTCTTTTGACTGAAAGGGATGGATAGGTGGTTTTTGCTGTGTGAAGCTTTTGTGATCTTGTTAAAGCTATAGTGCAGTTTGCTTTAAAAAGCCAATAGAGGAAAAGCTTAATGAGGTGAAAATTTTCATCTTTGCTTACAGGAGGTGAAGAAAACTGGGGCTATAATTGCCGGGTAGAAATGATTGTTCATTTGCTTTCGGGATTGAAAATAGCCAGAATTTTGAACGCATGGTCTAGGCAGAGAGGTGGGCTGTGCTGTAAATGAGGACCTCTTTTGCCAACATGTTGAAAACACAATGGATTAAGTGCACGCGCATTTGCTAATTTGGGTCCCGCCTTCCACTCTTCACCTCCATCTTGTTTTCTTGATTCTAAGCTTTGTTATTTTTTTTTTACCTTATGTGGCTTTCAAAGAAGCAGCTAAGATGTTGGGCTGAAGCAGCAGTGAAGAGAGCTGAGAGTAGAAAGGGGGGCCCGGAAGATTCATCATGAATATTTGATGCTCATCCATGACCAAATCTTGTCTTAAAAGGCTAGTGCTAGTATGTTTCTTTAGTGAGCTGTGCAGAGGATTTGTGCTTTGCCTTTGCTGCAAAGAAGAGTCTCCTGTAGGCCGTCTTCATGAGCACGTGGGCATCAATCTTTAATGCAGGATTTTATTTGTATGTTTCGTTGAGTACAACAGTTGTTTTGGGTGGATATTGCAATGTAATCCTGGTTATGTAGTGCCTATCTGTTTGGATTATGACTTTTGGCCGCTGCCTGTTGTTTGTTATTATTATTTTTCCCCTTTGGCAGCAGTGCTTTTCGGTCTTGCTATGCTATAATTCAATTTAATTTGACATTTCCAACATTAACCCACTGCTAAACTGTGCTGTATTTGATTTGATTGCTACATTAGAGAGGATAATCAAATCAAAGGACCCTTGCTGCTGTGGGAGGAGTTGGACGACATTCTTCTGGACTGCATGATTTCCATTGAAGAGAGAAGACTTAACGAGTGTGTGTATGTAGGGGAGGGTACAAATAGTTCTCAAAATGAGAGAGTTGAACCTTGAGAAGGAAAAGGGGGAATCCAACGGTTTATAAGGAATTCGTAGTCGAAAGTTTTCCCTACAAAGGAGGGTTGTGGGGAAAACTAATGAGGTAGCCCATCAAGAGAAGAGAAGAGAAGAGCACGGCCGTTCTTTCTCTTTTTCTCGCTGCAAACAATTGTACTTACCGTTCTATAGAGTTAGAGCACGGCCGTGCTACTACCAACCTAATGAGGTAGCCAAGCATGGTAAAGAAGCATTCTTTTGTCAATTGTTACTTCTACATTTTAATTAGAGTATTTGCATTTTACCAACTTTACAGTATCTCCACAAGGCGCCCAAAAAAAAAAAAAAAGAAGCGATTTTATTCACTTTTTTGGGTTTTCCATAATAGTCCACGCACATGATTAGTTGATCGCTGTGCTTGCAATGCAGATTCGGCCCGGCTAAAAGCCAGAGAACAGCATCCGAATGGATAGCCGTTGGGGCCCAAAGGAGCTACCCAAAACCCCCAAAGAAAACGAGGGTCGATTTTGTGTCTTCAGCAAATTCTTAGTGCCAAGGCATGTGCTGACTCGTATTAAAAGTCAAAGTAACAAGTATGTGTAAGCGTAAGATCCATTCATATGGATATGTCCATGCTTAATGTAGTGAATGGTAATTGATATTCTGCATGCTGACTTCGGCATTATGGTAGGACTGTCTCCAATATATTAGTTTCTTGGATACTGTATGATACCCTAACAACTTTGTCTGGCTTTGAACTATTCTCATGATATACAATTAGTGTTCCATTGATATTCAGGAAGCTGATGAATTGTTCCTTCTCTGCAATTTTGCGTGCAAGATCTTATGGAAAAACTGGACAACTATGACAACCTACATGGAGAGAGAGAGAGAGAGATAATGCCACTGATAATCCTTTTCCAATCCATCCAGGTCCCAGTGTATGCTTGCCCAATTGCTTATATGCTCCACATCAATGGAATGAAAGATACAAATTGAACCTGAGAATTTTCAAGACCTTTTCAGCCTGAACTTTTTCTTGATACATCCAAAGTTGATTCATTGAAAACATGTAATGTGCTTTTGCGGGAAAAATGATAAAGATGTTCCACTCGTGCAACTAAATCATAATGCAGAACACACTTAAACAAACATGGCAATTGCACCACAACCACTCACCCAAAGACAGAAGGATCAAATGTGAAAGTTCCTAAGATAATTCCTGTGAAGGAGGAGGGAACCTTTGGAGTACTCCTAATAAGAGGAAAAAAAAGAAAGACGACTACAGCTACAGGAATAGAAAAATGAAATATAGGGGGATCAAGTTTATCAGGAAATATCTTACTTCTTCACTTCCTTAGGTCTCAAGAAACGGAATTTCTCCACCTTCTAGGTGCCTTTTTAGGTTGTTCTGGATTCGAAATCTGGGGTCCATCATCATGGTTTTCCAAATTTGACATCTTGGTGAGCTTGCCTAGCTTTTTCCATCCTGAGGTCCATGCGAAAGTTTGCTTTGGCTTAGCCATCTTATCGAACTGTCTCTGTAAGGTTTCAAAGTCGTTTTGGAGTTCCAAGTACTTAGCCTTGACTGTTTCAAGCTCAAACTTGAGAGTGTTGATGTCCTTCTTGGCAGTTGCCCATCCTTCTTGAAATGACTGTGGCGTCCCTTCAAGCAATGTCTTACGGGTTGACACCATTGGGTGGTAGTGGGATTCTCCAGCTTCCTTGAGGGAGCTACTAGCTATTGCATTGCTTATCTTCACCTGTTCAGAGAAGAGAACTTGCACTACTACTCTTAGAGGAAGCCGTTCATTCTGAGCAGCATGCATGCATGCATCAATTGAGAGCTTCTGGCAATCCATTACACGGCAAAGCCTCTTCCTTTCATGCTCTGATAGTGTTGGATGGGCCTATCAACTCTTCAATGCGTTAGATTCTAAGTAAACTTGGATGAGCTTCATTATATGCAATATTTGAAGCAATAAATGTAAACGGCATATTGAGCATTATTATGAAGGCACATAGTGACTCGTTCATAACTTCTAATTTTGTGTTGTAAATTTTTCATCTGAAATTCTTCTCTTTGATCTTCACAATGCATAATAAATATCGACGTTTGTTTTAACTTAGAATTTAAAGATTTTGCAACTATTCTCTGGCCCTGTCTTCCTTCTATACTTATCCATTTAACATAATTCTTAACGGATGCATGCTTTATAAAAAGACCATATCACACAAATATTTTATTTTGAGGAGCTCGTCAGCTCGAGGACCAACCTGTTTTAACACCATATATTGGTGATGAACAGATATCCTCACAGAAAATCAATGAAAAATATAGTTACTTTAGAAAATCGCGAAAATTAAATTTCAATTACCTTCAGGTAGGAATCAACAGCTCTATATAGTCCATCATCACAGGTTCTTGCTGAATCAGGTAGAGCTTCTGCCAAGACCTGAAATTTCGTTAGGGAGAGATTTCTATCTCTGGACACCTCTGTTAGATAACTGTCAACCAGCCTTGCCACTCTCATCTTAGCATTTGGATTTGTACCCCTTTGGGGTGCTTCAGCAAATGATTGTCTGCTAGGACTTGAACTTTCTGTCTGCTCTTGGACAAGGAAATGCTCCAGTAGTCTTTGAACTAGATCAACATCGTATAATGTTTCACTCTTGTTGTATGAAGGAATGAGAAGATCTGCCAATGTAGCCTGTTCAAACTGCATGCCTACCCTCTTTTCCAATTCAGTAACCAGAGCAGCAGCTACTTTCAACAAGTTTGCCATTCTCAACAGTCGAAGAAGGAAGCTACAGGAAACACTGTCCTTCTGGGGAGGTATTAAGCTAATAAGGCTCTCAATAATCATTCTTTGATCCTTAGCCTGAACAGTTGGTATATCTTCTTTTGTCCCTGCTACAATCATATGGAGCCCCCCTTTCCAACTTCTGTTTATGTCATTAGCGTGGCTGTAATTGCTTCCCTCATCAGCTGCTGCTGATCCCTCCGTTATTAGTCCTGGAAGCCATTTAGCTGCGTAATGCATTATTGCAGCTCCAATTAGTTCATGTCTCATCCCCTTTACCTTAATAGCAGTAATAACACGTACAAAGTGATCAATCCTGAGAATCGAAACATCTTCAAACCACCAATCAGGTGGCACTTGTTGGTTTCTGCTTGGACTGGAATCCTTCATTTCATTCCAACTAGGGCTAGATACTTTTGGGGGCCTCCCTGTATATTGCCATCTTATTCCTTTTGGATTAGCACAAGCTTTCCAGGCAATGGACTCGCTGCATCTTCTGACAATTTGAAGGTTCTCTGCCCATGGCGACAGCTTCTCACTATTTTTAAGTACTAGTATAGAATCTCTCCATGATGACAAAACCACGTAGCTGAGAAAAGCTTCTGTCTTGAATATTAGATTGCCTTCTTCTAAGTCCTCTGTCATTTCCAGGTACTCTGCTGCACATCTAAGGCCAGAGATATTGTTTGCTGTCAGATCAACAGCAATCCCATAGCAAAATTTTGCTGCAAGCTCAAAAGCCTCAGGTCCACCTGGGAGGTCATCTAAAACTATCTTGTTCAGGTCTTCCCGTGATTCATATATGATTCTGTTCAACTTGCCACTTCTAGAAAGCAGAGGATACTTGAGAGACGAGAGAAAGAATTAGTATATCATCTAACCCCAACCCTTTTACAACCGTTATTAGTAATTCTATGTACACAAGTTGAGAAATGAGAAAAATGTTAGAATAGGATGGCAGCTACCTTATGTAAATGGAAATTAACATCTCCAATTTGAACTAAAAAGTCACTTGGGATATCAGTTGCAACATACCTATTTACAGGACAAGCACACCAAACATTATAAGTAACTTGCTTTAACATTAATGATGATATTGCAAGAAAGAGATACGAGGTTCACCACAGAAAGTTTACGCTTTCAATTTATGCATCTTCTCCTAAACATACTCACTCACTCGAGGCTTTCACAGGATGATTAACTTGAAGATGAAAATGCAAAAATAAAGATCCAAGCAATGCTGAACAAATGAGAGAAACATACCAAGACTGGCCTCTTTGCTCAAAACCATCGGTTTTAAGTCCATGCTTGCTTATGCTGAGAACTCCATTGCTGTAATCTCGCCCTCCTCCGGTCTCGCTTTCCGCGTCCCACATGGTGAGTTGAGGAAGCTCAGAAAACTTCAGATTGAATTTTAGAGTTAAGTGCTTTGCTTCAGATGAGGAGCAGAGAAAGTGAGATGAACAACAAAACAGAACAAGTAGCTAGAGAAGCTGCACCAATGAGCCAAAAAAGGTATCCCACATGGGGATGCTTGGAACTATCTCCAATTGTCGGCTTCTTCACTGATTTCCAAATGACTCCTACAGGCTGGGTTGCGATGGGCTGACAACTAATATGTGTTTTTGGAGCACTTGATTTCTTGATTTGATCTCTAATATATGGATATACTTTCTCCAAGTAGCCAGAGTGGGAGACTTTGAGTTTGTGTGCAGCCTCTCACTACTGATTTTTTAACATTTTTTGAGCCACTGTTTCAAGAGTTCTTTAATCGCCCCTTTTACAAACATTCAGGACTGTGCAGGGATTTTCTTTCAGCACCGAACTATTCTTCTGATTAGCAAGTACGATAGGTTGGCAGGGAATTTTGCATCTTGATGAAATTTGGAATTTGGAATTTGGATGTAATGCAACTAAATGGACCGGACCACCTTCGACTTCAGGGTATACCTATCTACGTACCCAAAAAATATCTCAAAGAAATAACAAGTCTTTAAGCAAACTCTTTAATTCTCGAGCCAGCCTTCCTTATTTTTACGTTCGAAAGCTCCATTTATTCTTTTTGTTTCTTCGGGAAGTGTGGGGGATTATATAATTTTGATGAGCAATAGGCCGTACTATTCGCGCTGATAATACGTTAGCAAGCTTTCATTTTCATGCCAATTATTACAATCTGAAGATTAGCAAGGCGCATCTATCTATCTATGGTCAGATTGATGAAGTTTTGATCATTTTGATGTCTGGATTTTTTTGACTAATGGAGAGTTATTAGTTTTAAGTTGCACCCACGCAGGAGAAATACAGAGTGCCCAAACAGGATGACGAAATATATAGCAGCGGTTATTGTCTTTCACCTTTGGAAGATTCAGCAGTGACAGCGGGGTGGATAAGGCTAAAAAGGAGTACTTGCAGAGCAAAAGAATTTGGCAGAATGCAACAAGGTGGAAAGGGGCTAGCTGCTCTCTTGCAGTTTTAGTAGTTTTTGAGTACCACGGATAAAGCAGAGGGCTTCCACAACCAATCACCAGTTTTAATGATAAGGCACAGAGTGGATAGCAATGCACGACAAATGCGAAGAAGAATTCAATAAATGTAAATATTAAAGCAACAACATGCAAAACACAACAATTTTTTGACACTCCTATAAAATTATATGCCCCCTCCCCCCCCCCCCCCCCCCAGATCAATCTGACACCGCGGCGAAAGCAATTTAAAAACCTGTAAAATACAAGATTCGAATCAGAATTTAAAAAAAAAATTAGAATTTCAAATCCAAGATTCGAATTAGAATTTCAACAAGATTCAATTAGAATCTAACCACTTGAGAACATTCAAGAACAATTATATATAGACCCAATACAATTGTGTTAAAATTTCAATAATATTGTCAAAACCTGTAAAATAAAACCCTAGAGAACCTTGTGAGTGGATTTTTGCAGTTTCAAAAGTTGATTTCCTTCTATGTCCTCACGTGTTCCTACACTTTTCACACGACCCCCCTTAGACTCCCTTGTCTCGAAGGGATATCTCATAGCAAATCCCTCCATCTCAAAAGAACTCAACCCCAAGTTCATAATGAAGAACGCAATATTCAAAAGTGAAAATACGCCAGCAACTTTTTCATATAATTTTTAGAGTCGATACTTGTGATGGAACCTTTGTATCCAATTATGAATAGAATTAGATAGGTGCCCTGTTTGGAATTTAAGTTTTTTGACAATTTTATCTACTACAAATTTTTTAAAAATTTTAGCTACAGTAACCTCAAAAATTTTTTTAAAATTCTTAAACTATACATTTCAAAATATTTAAAAATTTACACTCTTCAAAAAAATTTTACAGTATACTACAGTAAAATTTTAGATAAACTTTTAAAAAACTCACCCTCCAAACGGGCCTGCGTCCTTTAAAATTCCAAAATTCAACAACTTCAGCAATTTGCATTTTGAAAACAAGTCTCATTTTCTCTTCACAAAAAGATTATGAACTATATACACAGATCCCTAGGGTTAGGGTTAATCGTGGCAAAATTCGTCTAGTCTCATCATCCGAAAATGACGACTTGATGTGAACCACATTGAATAAGAACGCGATCATGAGCCACTCTCCTGACACATCTATTCCATTCTTTGTGATCCAAATTATGGTGAAACATTACACAAGAAATGTACTACGATATCAACTGATGCGACGGCAGAAGCAATTTAAGAGAACCAGTTTCATGAACTAATTCCATAATAATAAAGAATCAAGGGTGATTTATGATGAACCCTAAAGAAAATCAAAATTCAAACGCTCAAGAACAACTATATATAGACCCAATACAATTGTGTTAAAAATTTAATCATATTATTGTCAAAAACTGTTAAATAAAACCCCTATTCACAGGATACAAGTATTCCAAACGAAAAAGGAGAGAAAATACAATAATGAAGTTAGGAAAAACGATGATGAAACTTCACACTGCCACCAATCCAGGATCTGCTCGCCGATCCGTTTCGACAATTTCAGAAGTTGATTCACGGCCAGGTCTAGATCCACGAACGGATTGGGGGGGCTAGGGAATGGATCTTGTACGCGACTCTTTTTTTTAAAAAAAAAAAAAAATGCAACTTCAAAGGTTTTCTTTCTCTTTCCTTGCGTGTCAATTCCCACATCTGAGAAGGAGGTTCCACCAAAGAATCTCATCTATCCAATTTCAAATTAAACACATCCCCGCTGTTAACTACACCATACGATCCAAAACTGCAATTATATAAGCCTCTGCAATCTGTTTTAACACAAATGGTACAGTTCATTAGCTTTTAGTATCTATCAAAAATTAGGGGAGAAGAACAGGAATGAATGTAAGCAGCAATTCTACGATTATCCAAAAAAAAAAAATGTAAATGCCTCGATCTTGTGGTGTACATTATCTTTTAACATCATATCATATGTAGAGTCCACCAAAAATTGTTCCATGCTTGTATTGTATTCAAATTAGTTTGCATAGTTGAACAAAAGATTTTTTATAATATTAAACAAAAGATTTATATTATGTTCAATTCACAGAACCATTCCCAGACATTTGATTTGAACTGTCCCGTTCCCAAAAGTTAAAAAGTTTTTAACAGGAAGTCAAGTGAAGCATCTTTGACAGCACTACTTGGCAATTTTGTGCCACAAGAATTCCTCCGCTAAGGTAATTGGAGAAGGATATTAGTTGGTCCATAATATCCAGATCAGACATTAATGGGTGCTTCAATCATTTCAAACATTTGTCCTGGGGTGCAGTGCATTTCCAATACGCCTTGAGCTGATTTGATGGTATTACAGCATCTGGAATTATGGTTGTACCATCGAGGGAGCTGGTGAATGGGTCCCTGAGTTGCACAAGTTGTCTTGCAGTGACGGACGCTGTGGAAAAGATTGAACTTATGCAAGTCCCCGCCAATGGGGTCTTCAACACATTTATCGGCCGCTGTCAGAATTGATGAGCCCTATCCAGCACCATCCCTTTGCATTAATGACCATCACCCCACTCAATACTCTAATCAAAAGCCGCCTAATATCTCTGTCATGTCATTAACCTGCATTCTTCTCGTCAAGGAATTGTCCCCATTCCATACATTAGGGGATTTTTGTTGTCTGTTCATGGAATGGGATCAGAAAAAGGAGACTTTATATAGGATAATCCTCTCTTGACTTCTCGTTTTAACTGATTTTGACCTGATGGGCGCTTCTCTATGCCATAAAAGTGGTGACCGTGGCACAAATTATATAAATTTCTGTTCATGACTTGATTCTTTAAGCTACCGTTTGTGTGTGAGCAGAAGTATGGAAAAGTGTAGGAATATTGTTTGGATAAGGTATTATTTGAAATATTATTTGGAATAATTATTATAATACTTTTTGTGATGTGATGTATGTGAGATAAAAAAGTAGTTGGGAATATAAAAAGGTGGATTGGAAAATGTGTTTACGATGCAAGCGAAATATTATTTAGAATAAGTTCACTATCCAAACAAACATAAGCGAAATATTATTAGCTAATTTTTTTCTCATTGCGTGTGTGTGTGTGTGTGTGTTTACCGCAAAATTTTCCTGCCATTTCTTCCACTGTTCTACCTTCTCTGTTTGTGCTTTCTTATGTTTTGTATCAAGCAAAATCATCAACACATTTTTTTAATTATTTTTTTTATTTTACATATATCACTTTAAAAAGTGTTATAATATTTTTTTGAAAAAATTATTTCGAATAATCATTCATTATCCAAACATGTTCATTATATTTTTAGAAACTATTACTAACTAATCACGTCCTCTCAAAGTATTTTTCGTCAAATAAACATACAAAAAAATTGATTTTCACTTTTCTTTACTTCACTTTCCTACATAGCTTTTCCTCCAATCAAAACTTTTCTAATAGATTTGTAACTTTCACATATATATATATTTGTTTTGTAAATAAAGATGCATTAAAATAAAGTCAAGTCAACAGAGTGCAAATCAAAGTACAGTTATCCGTGGGGTGGTAACCCCCTTTAAGTCTTGCAAAAGTAAGGGAAGTACAAAATTAGGACATAATTCAAAAAAAGTGAAGTCTTAAGTGTTGCTTCTTCCCCAGTTGACAAGAATGTCTGCACATTTGTTTGCTTCTCTATAATTATGGTGAAAACATACTTTCCGGAATGTAGTCAATAGCTCCCTGCAATCAAGAATAATAGGCGAAAGTTCATGAGAAATAAGATTATTTGACTTGCACAAGGAGATGATAATGGCAGAGTCCATCTCCACTTCGAGAGAGTGGATGTTGAGGTTTTTTGCAAGCTGTAAGCCTTCTCTAAGAGCCCAGCATTCAGCAGAAGGAACTGAATAGAAGCCTAAATTTCTTGCAAAACCTGCAATCCATAACCCATTTGAGTCAGGAATTATGCCGCTAGCTCGTGCCTGGTTTGTTGGTCCAGAGACTGAACCATCAGTGTCATGGAGGTCTAGGAAGAATCTCTTCGAGATTGAATGTACATAATTGACCGAGTTGAATATTTTCATGCACAAGAATACTAGATTATCTAATAAAAAAAGATTGAAAAATCAACACAAACCTCCCTTATTTCTTTTCTATTGCAATTTCTGGATTATTATATGATGATTTTTTAACTGTCCATATATAAAAAAGAAATTTAAACTAGAAACGACATCTGTTATGTCAATGACACCAAAGGGATATTAAATGAATGGAATTGGGTATGGATGGAATAAAATGAAATGAAATATAACCACTTTGAGTTTTTCTCTGAAATGAGGCATGGAAAGAGCCATTACGAAGAAGTTTTGGGGGTTACAAAGAAAGTTTCTAACTCATATTGGTCATGGGTTGAGAACAGGAATTGAACTCTATGAAA